CCTGCAGCAAAGGGGAGGGTCCACTGATGGCCCTAGGCCTCGCCGACCTTCAGGCCTGGGGCCTTCTCTCCGTGCAGGGCAGAGCCACAGAAGAGGGCAGGCTCTTGGGCAGGGCTGGCGTGGACAGAGGGAGGGCGAGTCCCGCCAGCATGGGCCACCTGGGGACAGCGGGTCCAGTGTGCACAGAGGGGGGCGGGGTGGGGACAGGGAAGGGGAGACAAGTGCAGACAAGGGCCAAGGGGCCAGGACAGATAAGGGGAGAAGCCAAGAGGGAGGGTGGCTGGATGGAGTGGGCCATGGGGACACTGAGGGGATGCAGGAGGGACACTGTGTCCATGGATGACCAGGAGGTCGGGGAGCGCAGTGCGGGGGATAGGAGTGGTGAGACCAGGGGCTCCGGGCACTTACCTGGTCCCATGCTGGACCTTCTCCCTCGTCTCAGTCCCCAAACATTCTGCCCCCTCACTGACCTGCCCTCCATAAATGTCACCATGACCCCCCAAAGTCCTCTGGCCCATGAGCCCCCTCACCATGACTGCCCATGTGGGCCGAGGAGAAGCCGCTGAGGGTGTTGCGGCCGGAGGTGTCGGCGTAGCGGGGCATGGAGCTGACCACGGCCTGCAGGTACTTCTCCTGCTCCAAGCTGCTGGAGTCCGCCTGGGACTGGCCTGGGGCAGGAGGCAGAGCTGCAGTGGGCAGTGGGCATGGGGCACGGGGCACAGGGCACGCATGAGGACGAGGGAGGGTACCTGGAGAAGGCGTGTTCTGGGCCTTAAAGAGACCAACGACACCCTTGCCATGCAGGCCCCCTGAGCGCAGCAGCACGGCCTTGGAGCGCCCGCTGCGCCAGCAGACCACGGGGAAGCGGTTCTGGCGGTAGCAGCGGGAGACACGCTGCAGCGCGTTGTCCTGGACGCTCTGGGGCACGATCAGCAGCCCCGGGTAGCTGTGGGGGGGGGCGTGAGGTGAGGCGAGGCGGCTGCAGGCAGCACCCCAGCCCGTGGCGTCCAGGCCAGCACGCACCTGCGGCAGATGGCGTACATGCGGTTGACCGGGGAGATGCGGAAGGGCTCTGACTTGGCGCGGCTCAGGCTGCTGCTCAGCGTGCCCAGGCCCAGGCGCTGGTAGTCCCTGCAGCAGGCCCGCTCCACCAGGCTGCTCATGGTCATGCGGTCGGAGGGCTTCAGGGCCGAGGTCGGGGTCAGCGTGCCGGGCTCCAGCTCCTCTGACACTGGGTAGGCCAGGCAACAGGAGCCGTCACCCGACAGCACCAGGGCCCCTGCACAGGGGTCTGCACCCCGAGCACCCAGGGCTGCCCGCACCCCACCTGAGATCTCATCCTCCTGGTCGTCGGGGGACTGGCCCCTGTGCTCGTAGCTGGGGGGGTTGTACTTCTTGCGAGTGACGTGCTGCCGTCCCATGGTCTTCTTGGCGTTCTTCACGAGGTTCCGGGACAGGGTCCTGGAGTGCGAGGTCAGCAGTGAGCAGACAGGCACAGGCCTGCACCCAGCGGTTTGGGAGGCGTGGGCTCCCTGGCACCGGGCCCCGCTCCACACCTGAGGGAGGGACCCTTGTCCTTGGCGGTGCGGGGCGGCCGGCCGGGCGTGTGCGCGGAGCCCTGGGTGAAGGCGAAGGTGTTCCTGATGTCCAGCGGGTACCGCAGCTTGTGCAGCTGCTTGCGGAAGAGCTCGGCGTTCTCGGACCCCACCTCCTCGTCGAAGGCCATCTTCAGCAGCTGCATCAGACACAAGGCCTCTGAGGTCTGGGCGGCCCCGGGCCTGGCCACGACCACAGAGGCGGGCGAGCCTACAGGAAGCCCTGTGCCTCCCGAACGAGATGGATGGTCAACACCCTGCGACCAGATGGGCCCCAGGGGTCGGGGAAGGCCCAGCGCCCGGCTGTGAAGGGCCCCCTTGCCTCTGCGTCCTGCTGTGCACACCTGGGGCTGGCGGGTGTGTCGCTCCAAGGGAGCGCCGCCAGCACTGGGCACGCAGGCCCTCGCCACCAGCCAGTGCGGCTGTCAGGCCGCGGAGCTCGGCCTCTAACCGTGCTTCCTCCTCATCTGTGTACATTTGGGTCGTGCTGAGCTTATGCAGCACACTCCAGACACAGACTCAAGATGGGGGCTCCGTAGAGCAAACAG